TGAGGGGGCCACCGTCCGGTAATGGCGGGCTGCCCAGCTGCAGGCCCTCTCTCGGCTTCTTATTGCCACTCGCCGCCTTCTCCGCAAAGCTGGTCTTGGCGGGCCTCCCTCATTTCATCTCCCACTTGTCGGGTTAGCGCTTCTTAAACATTTTTTCCTTCCCCTGTCCCCTGTGAGTGCCTCCCTCGACTCAGGGTGGCGCCTTTTTCACCAGCGGTTGGAGTTGAATCAGGTGTAGGTGCTGGTTAAGAAAAACAACTGGGGAGACACACAGTGGACTTGGGAAGCTGCCGATACGATTAACTAGGACACACATACTTATTCAACAACTGATAAACCTGTAGTACGTTGCTCTGAAAAATGCTCAGTCAGTGTTTTGAGGAAAATTAGTTGTATAACTTTTTGATCCACTGCCTTAAATTACGCCATGAATTGTGCAGTACTTTTCACAAAAACCTTCCAGGAGACCTGTCAGTGTTGTGGGATACGAGATAAAGTCATGATCTATGAAATTCAGTATGTGCATAATTTTATTCTTGCAAGTAGCTTCATTGTGAGTGAAGTTACATGAGTACTAAACACATACAGACTTCATTGGAGACCACACAGGTACAAGAATTGGGATCTCAAATACGCAACTCCAGCAAGATGTAGTTATGTTCACAGAAAATGCAGAGAGGGTGGTTTACAGCGCGACTACGATCTCTCCAGCGTGTATTTTGAAGGCCTCTGGAGGGGAAGCGTAAGGAAACTCTTTTGATGGTGTCCTGCTTAATCACATTCCTTACAGAACCAAGGGCTGTAAACTATTTTAGCAAGATACGTGAACAAAAGCAGGTGGTGTTAACAGGGCTAGTTCAGCAAATTTTAAATGCTGAGTAGGAACTCAGAAGAAAGGTGTAGGGCTGAGTAGCGTGAAAAAACAGCAAACCTTCTTTTTATGCCTAATTATGTGCAAAAGGGCCTATGTTCTATTTCCTTTCAATTCATGACCGAATTTTCTCCTTTCAGTGTTTATTTTCTGTTTCTTTTTTCTGGATATCTACTTAATGTTTCTTTTCATAGCATGTTTTTGTACTGCATGTGTATGCAAATGCTTATATGGAATATGCAGAGTTATTAGGTATTTAGTGTGGAACAGACTAATGTCTGTCCAGAGAATGTACAGACAAAAGATTATAAGGAGCTTTCATTCCAAGGAGGAGAATGTATTTTCAAGCCAATGTCTTATAAACACATTCTCTTGTTTTATTTCTTTCCCTCAAAGGTTCTCATAAACATGAGTGCTCTTGAGTACATATTTGATTAAACAAAAAACATACTCTGTTTAAAATGGTAGATTTGTGTTTCAGAGAGTTCCAAACTGTAAGTGGTAGACCCTCTGCTTGGTTTTAAGAAGTTGTGCTTAGAGAAGAAAAGTATGGAAAAGTGCATATTTGAAATGAGCTCTGTGGTTTGTATTCCTATGTAGTTGTTCTTTGTAACAGACTTACTGTAACATCTGGAAAATCTGATTTCTTATGAGAAGGAAAACACCTGCAAATTTAATCTTGAATGACAAAGAATTCCGAGTAATAGTTATTAGAATTAATGATTTGAGCTTCTGTTGGCTTCAATAAGGACTAGTCTTCTTGCTGATTTTTTTAATGACATATGCATGGAAGTGGTGCTTTGCAGTAATCCATCTATTTTTCCAATTTAAATTTTTCCTTGATACAGAAAAATAGACCTGTAATATTTAAGTGGTAAGAAAATAAAATTTTCCCCCAACTCAGTAAAACAGTAATACCTAGTTCAGTATACCTTTTCTGTCAGTATGTTCTATGTCATAGGACAACAGTGGAAGATACCCATATTTTTACACATCAGAAAAGTGGGAAGCAATTTTGGAATATTGTTGAATGTTTTATGTATAGATATAAAGTCTCTTTGAAGTCCTGGACTTGAATTGTGCAACAAATGACCTACTGAATGTAGTTACTGTCAATATGTGTAATTGTAGCAGGTGGAAAAGTTCTTGATCTCTTTATGCCTAACTATGTGCAAACTAAGTTCTGGAAAATTGTATATTTGAATTACACTTCTTTGCCACTAAATGTGTGTCTGTTTAGAAAGAATGTTAAATGTCAATTAAGGCTTGGATTTAGTGCTTAGAAATGTTGTAGCTGACAGATGGAGAACAGGCTTGAAATAGACATTCACGTGAGGTTTTCTTGGGGGAATGAAGGAAATAGAATCAGGATTGACAAAGTTCAGGCCAACTGGGCAACAAAGAGCAAGGGAGTTATGGAGAAGAACACACAGATTTTTTTTTGGTTGGTTTTCATGATGTTCTTTTAAGAATTCTGCCAAAGTTACTGTTTTCTCCCTGAGTTTTGAGTAACATTGAATTGTAGTTAAAAAAAACCCCAAACAAGTTAAGACTACTGGGAATATGCAAACTCAAGAGTAGAGCTGTAAGTTTGCCATTTTTTTTCTTTTTCTTCACATGTCCATAGTGGAAATCTGTTATTATCCATTGGTAACATTTGTTATTATAGCCCATTGTTTCATAAGAAAGTAACTTCCTAAAATTTTCACAGCTGAAGTTAAATTTTATTGAATGTCTACGTTACTGATACTTGATTGCAAGTGACTGTTTTTAGCATGGGGAAGCACAATTGATTTTAAATTATCGACAGTGGCAAGCTAGTCTACTCCTGGACGGATTTGCATAAATATAATTAGATAAGTAGCACAGCAAGTCTTTTTTCCTTCCTGCCTTTTGTTTATCATAATTCCATGGTCAGTTTAGACAGTAAAAGAGGGGGTTCCACCCTTTATCAGCTTTGTTATTTAATTCCTGTCCTTCTTTTTGATAATAAAAGCATCAGTATGGCAAAGATGATGAGCTTGTTTGGCGTAGTACTATTTTTTTTTTTTTGTGAGTTAGTTAACTGGCACTAAATCTTGATTTTGTGTGTTGCAGTGTCATGCAAATGTGACCTCTTTTGTTGGCAGTTCTAGCTTGTGTCATCACATTGTGGAAATGCAGGCGATGCTTTAGGGGGAAAACAAGACAACGCCACCAGCCTGCTTGGCAGGTATCTACCATTAATAATTTCTGAAATATGCACAGAACACTTACTGTTTCACAACAATATGAAACGGGAATGAAGTACTAGTTCATGAAACGCTGTAGTCTTATGTAAGAGTAGTTAATTTGACAGTGTTAATGCATGCTGCTAATATTTTTGGGTGTATTCTAGTTATCTATGTATTAATTCGTTACTAAGTGTAAAACATACATATAACAATAACACGCTTGGTGTCCAACATAAAAACTATGATATTGTTGCTTAATGTACACATCTTGGTCAGTGAATTTTAGTTTAAACTTCAATTTTTATGTTGTTGTAATACTGAATATTTTACTTTAAGACACTGATCCTTCAGTTCTTTTTCGTATAATGAAGTGGCACCCCAAAAACACTGAAATGACTTTTTGAAAGTGTGCAGGATTGGCTTTTTTGGAGCAAACTGTGGGATCAAGACCTTATTTATATGTTTTAATAGAAAACATTGCTGAGTGACATTGCTGTGCTTTGGAATGCATACCTTTTACTAACCATGCTCCTGAATCATTTACAGACCCCAAAATTAACAATGACAAAATGGCAAAAAGATATTCCACCAAGAATCTAGTTTAAACTGTCAAAAAATTAAAAATAGTGTTTTAAACAGTTTTCTTCCCATTCACTAGATGGCAGCTGATCTTCAAGAATGGCTGTATTTCTCCTTTCAAATCTGATAATTTGAAGGAAATAGTCATCAGTTCTTGGAGAAATCAAATATTGTCCAGCATTGTCTTCACTTTGTTTCTAATATGAAACTGAAAAACCAGCACAGTGAGTGTTCATATAATTTTCAGCTTTTTCATGTTGGGTTTGTTGCTGTTAGTTTCTGGGGAAGAATGTTCTTTATTCTTTGCTTTCATATTTAGTTGGACAGATTAACTTATTTTTAAGGAGCATGTACAATACTCTAATGATATTCTAAAAAGAAAGAATAATATTTCTGGTTTTCTTTTGGGTATACCTATTGGGTTTTGGCAGAATAAAAAATTGTTCAAAATTCCCAATTATTATAACTCACAAAATAAGAATAACTGTGTCTTGTTACAATAATTCCAAGCATACCAAGTAAAGAAGATAGTAAGCTGTTAAATTTGACTATATCTAGTATCAGAACTGCAATTTTTATTTAAAACTGACAAATTAACAGTCGTTAACATAGTCTTTTTTAATAGTAAATGGATTTTAAAATGTGCTGTGATAGTCTATTAATCACATAAAGATAGCTCAAGGTGGGTAGGTGACATGTACATATTTTAGGGCAGGATTTTATTATTTGTGGAGGTTCTGTGACTAAGTATATATACTGTATTAGACTTATGCTAGATATTGCACATTTGAAACACCAGAGTCTCTTACAATGAAACTTCATAGATAAATTGTAAAGACGTGCTTAGAAAAGGAGTGGAAAGAGCTTTTGTATGTCTGCATGACTTTATGAGAGGGCCACCCTCAGTGTGTTTACTTAATTTTCTCGTGAACATCCAGTCTCGTATCTTT